ACAGTGGGGCCACCACGGAGGATCCCAAACAGCAGCTTGCTCCGCTTGCTCCCCCATGGCGGCCCGGCTGAGCAGCACAAAAGTCAGCCAAGCACCACGGCGGGATGCAACAGCACCCCCCAGAGGGAACAGCCAGCGTTTCAGTAACAGCGCCCCCCAGAGGGAACAGCCAGCGTTTCGGCGTTACAGACTCAGACACTGGGCTACTATATATATGATGTGGGACTGTGTTTAGTGAAAATCTACCAAAAAAGGAAGAGGGATCTGGAAAATGCTGGGATTTAAATACAGGGGGATATAAATATGCGTGTGCTTTTCTTCACCCCGCACCCATGGATGCCAGATTTGCATTATATTTGATGGTGTCCAGAATGGGCCTAAGCAGAGCCATCCCATCCATAGAACAGTTCAGGGCAATCACAAAGGGCCCTGCGCTTTGGGGTGCCTTGTGCTTCGGGGGCCATGGGGGATTAACAGGGGCCCTGGTGCTGCGAGCAGCGAGCAACCCAGCCCCAGCCTTGCTGCACTCCATCCCACCCCGCCAGCTCCTGGTATCGCTTGGGGGAGGAAACCAGACAGAGGTAGGCCAGGCACAGGAAGAAGAGGGGCAGAGCAGTGGAGCAGAGGCAGGAAGAGGTGGGGCAGAGTGGGGGTTGGGTTGTAATCTGCTGCCAGCATGAGGTCTCCCACTGGCCCCCTGTGCCTCTGAAGGATAGGGCCCCCCAAAGTGAGGGGCCCAGGGCAGTTGCTGTGGTCCGTCCTATGGATGGACGACTCTGAAAATATAAGACCAAACATTGGTGGAGCCGGGCCTACATTCCGGAATATGGGCGGGGCACGGGCACCACAGGCCCGGATAACTTGCCACCTCAGCCCGCGCCCATTCACAAGCAGAGCACGGAGCTCAGCACCACGTACGCACAATAGGCTCAAACCCACAACATGCTGATTCCTTCCCCCGAATCCACCGGGCAACTTCTTCCCTTGCCAGTCACAGGGGTTGAGAGGTTGGATGCGGGATAGAGCCAGATGTGGGAAGAAATGGCCACTCTGTACTGTGATGCTCTGCAAGGTGGGGGAGGTGCAGCCTGCTGACTTCTCCTTTGTGTTAGTTACAGGACTCTTATCAGGCCCACGTACAAAATGTCTTACCGCACAGTGACCACCCTGGAGTGGAGATGCTGTCCCGGGTTCACAGGGAGTAACTGCGAAGAGGGTAAGTCAACTGGAAATCGGTATCTTTTCCCACAGAACCTTGGTGCAGCAGGAGGAATGGGGTTTAGGTGAGTTTATTTTGGCTGAGTTGCTTTTCATTTCCTTAGCCCGCCATCTGCGGGGGTTTTTCTCTCTTTATTAAAAAAAAGCCTTCATTAATTTTCATCTGAAACCCAAACACAAATTTTTGTATTGCAAGCCAAGTTCTAAAAGGAGAACATGGCAGGTGAGTCTGGAAGCCATGTGTGTGCCAGCTGTGCTTTTGGGAACCTCCAGTGGGTGGCATAGTGCCCACCCATGGCTCGGGCATGGATATATCCCATTGGTGGATGGCAGTGGTGAATTTCTGGTTTGATGCTTCCATTGGGCTTTCCTTCAGAAAACATGAGTCCTGCAAGCAAGAGTCTCTCATTAGGGGAAAGATCCTGCATGTTAAAATCAGTCTCCCCCTTCCATGTCCCATGTGCGTTTTGAGATGGCAATGATATGGAGATACATCAGTTCTTGAGATCAATGAAGTTGAATCATGGACCACCACTTATAGGCTCTTATGTGTATGCTAAATACATTGAATTCTTCCTCTAAAGCTTCTTTATTATTTTGTGTCCCATATTTAAGCCTGGGCACGTCAAGAGGTAGAGCTCTGTCGATGGAAAAACAAAGCCATGTCTTCAGAGGTCTGTTAACTGAAATTACTCCATGTGGATCATTTTTTAGGATAGACCATAAATCGCGCAATTTAGAGTCTCTGCTTTCGACATCAGATCAGTCCCATTCAAGAAAATATTAGCGGCCTGGGTTTTTTCCAGAGGAAGAAAGGAAAAAGTTTTCCTTTCTCACCTCAACTGAAGATGAACATGATTTTTTAAAAATTGTTATGAATTGTATTTTTGTCCTTTACTTTCTTTAGCTTATCTGCTGTCTCCAGGGTTTATGAGTGTGCTGTGGTTACGCTTGTCGTATCCTGTGGGATCTTGCCATGAATGTACTCTGGATAAAAGTGGGAAGGCAGACTGGGTAATCTGGGCCATGGATTGACTTGCATTTAAGTTGGCATCAGAGTGACGGGCAAACAGAGTTATCAGCAGTGTTGAGCTTATACAATGCATTCTGTGACCATGGCCCTCCATAGGAAGCTCTGGTTGGCTTGTGCCATTAGGTCATTGTACTAACCACTTCACAGATGACTCAAGTGGATCTGTAAACAATAAATCATCCTGTGAAAGTGGTTTTAAACCAAGAGCGTGGTCCTATGCTGACCACTTTATGTTGTTGTGGAAATAATATCCTCCCCAAAACTCCCAGAAATCTAAACCTAGGAAAGCTGCCACAAACAATCTGCAGCTCAGCTTTACTTTTCAACAAGGCACTAAAGAGAAAAGTGTCAGGAAGAGACGGTCTGGAAGGCAGCAACACAATGGCCAAAGATTAGCTTTGGTTCCTAACTGTCCCGGCATCCAGGCATGGAAGATTGTGATAGATGCAGCAAAGGACCAGTTATTGGCAACATGCCCAACAACAAAGAGCCAGCTTGGTACCCAGTTCAGATAGTTGAGTGCAGCCCTGGTAGCCCTCCATAACTGTGCATAGTGATTACAGCTTAGTCAGCAATTCTGTAGCTGTAAAAGATAATCCTTCTCTGTCCCTCTCTGCTGCCTCTGTCTCTGTCTTTCCACTCCTCTTAAAGTCTTCGTAGATGCTTGTTTGAGAGAGTCCGCAAAGAAGACTGGATACTCATGGGAGTAGATGACAATTTTATGACGCCACTTCAGTGCAGAATGTCTTCTTTCAGGCTCGGAGGCAGTGTTTCCGAGCATTGACAAAATGAAAGTCAATAGCCACCTCCTTTTTCCATACACTTTGAAAACCTCTGGAGCAATTGATAGTCCCAGCTCCTGAAAACTAACCCCCACACTTGCAATGCTGTTGTTGACCCTAGAGGTGTGGACTGAAGAACAAGAGTGAAAAACTTCTAAAACAGACATTGATTTAAATTGTTCCAGTAATGTTAGGTGTTAGTCTTGCTAATCTCTTTCAGTTGCAACTTTCTCTGTATTTTCAATTTTTTGCTTAGTACATTTGAGAGCACTTGGTAGGGGATTGGTTTCAAGTTTCCCATATACAGTCACAGAGGGGTAACCATGTTCATCTGTAACTTTAAAAACAACTTTTGAAAGCAACGAGTCATCCTGTATACCTTAGAGACTAACAAAAACAGATCTTGACTGAGATCATTTCATCTGAAGAAGTGGGTTTTGCCCGCGAAAGCTCATGGTACTATATATGAATGTGTGTTTGTCTCTGATGTGCCACGGGTCTACTTTCTGCTTTTAAAAGTTGTTTTCATGCATACTCAGTTTCTCATAGAGGTGTGTGGTGGGGAAACAACAGTGAGGGACAGAGAACAAAAAAATAAGGATTAGGAAACTGCACACATGCATAAAAATAATTTAAAAAATAGTAGTTAGATGGTCTACTGTATCTCCTTGGATTTTATTTTCTAACTGCCTCTTTAAATCTGTGAATGCTGCTGTGAATTAAATCTGGTGTCAGAATTTGTTTTGTTGGTGTTTGAAGTTACATCCTGACCACCTCATATCCCCCCGGTAACCACATTCTACCACTCCCTCTGGTCTTATTTAATGTGGATGATGAACAGAGACCACAACTGATGGTCCCAGCTTTTGACTCGCTTAAGAGGAGCCTTGTTTTCCTGCTCTGCCTGGTGACTGTGGTCTCCTTTGCAAGTGGCACTGCATTTTCACGCCCAGCACTGATTATAACTAGAGAAAACAAGGGCAATCCAAAATAATTGCGGGACGGTTTGGGGATTGTATTGTGGGCGGGCCGTTGAGAGAATGAGAAGGTGAAGCAGCAAGTTTTAGGGACCCCTCTTGAGTCCAAGGATTTGCTTTTTGCCGTGCGAGGCTCAAAAAGTCCCATCAATTTGCTCGTGCCTTAATCCGCATCAAACAGATGCCATGCCATCTCCACTCTCTTGGCCCTCGTCTACACTAGGGCGTTATTCAACCTTGAGGTTGAATTTAGAAGCGGAGCGTCCACACTACTAAGCCCGTTATTTTGAAATAACAGGCCACTTATTTTGAAATCTGTCCTCCTCCTTTCCTTGGGGACTACTGCTAAATTTGAAATAGCTATTTTGAAATAGTGGTAACGTGGACGTGCCGGTGCAGCTATTTCAAACTAATTACTCCCCAGAGTAATTCAAACTAATTGTTCCCCAGTGCTTCGTGGGGCTCTAAGTCGAGGTAGCGTGTCCACATTAACAGAGCCTGCCTTGGACTCATTTCGAGGCTTCCCCATAGTGGGGACATGCTAGTTCGCTTTTGTAAAATTGGGAATTATCCAGTCAAATTTAGTTATTTCAAAATAATTTCCTAGTGTAGACATGCCCTTACTGTGATTTCTGAGCAGGGTCTCTAGAGGAGCCAATGCAGCCTGTCCATGGATTTTTATACCTTTCATGGTGAAAGGGGTTTGTCTTTATTTCTTTACTATGTAAAAGGCGGGCGAACCAGCTTCAGTAGCTCAGAGTCTGCAGCAAAAGCCAGGATTGTAGGTGAGAGGGATGGCCCGTTCTTGTCTCCTATGGCTGGGCTTGAGTTTTTCTTGTGGCAGGGGATTGTGGGAGGGAAGGCTGGTTTGGCAACTCTCTGAATTTCACGAGGTGTTCTAGTGGTCACGCAACCTCCTCCTGGTGGCTGTCTCCCCTCCCCCCCTTCCAGCCGCTCCCTCTCCCCTGAAGAAATGTGCTGCATGCTGAAGGAATGAACAATTGTTAAACTCGGGAGAGCATTACAAAGTGTCTCGAGCCTTAGCTAATAGGTTCAGTTTGAGAAAGTAACCACTTAACTATCACCAGCTGGTGGGCACCCACTTACTGCTGATGGCTGCAGATTGTTTGGATTAAAATTTATCTCTGGTATTTAACTCTTGCATTGCAGCCGAGACCGAAGAATCTACGCTTTAGTGAACCCAGGAGTTTTGCTCCTTAATCGGCAGAATGTGGGGGACAGCTGCTTGAATTATTCCCATTATATCACTCTGCCCTTGGAGGGAAGCTGCCCCACCTTTCTCTCCCCAGGGCATGTCAGTGTTTGAAAAGGCCCAACTAACTCCTGCAGTATTTTTCCAGCTCTCTGACCAGTGAGTTCATTAGATGGTTCCCCAGATTGCACTAGACCATGAAGTGCTTCTTGCAACAAGCCCTTTGCTCTGCCTTGGACGAAGAGGGAGCCTTGACAGAAACGAGCCTGGCGAGCTTAACTGTCGGTGGATAATTTTTATTTTTCCTTTTTTAAATACTGGAGCCCTCGCTAGGACAGGAAATGAATCCACCGAGCCACCCAGTCTGCTGAATGCTGATATAAAGAACATATGGAGGAGGGCAGTGCAGAGGTGAAGTGGTTTAGCTATTGCAATCATGCATCAAGCTGATTGATTTGAATCCAAGATGATGCTGACATTTCAACCCAAACTATTTTGTATTTCCCGCCCCCTCCTTGATGGCTGAAAGTTCAAAGCCAAAAAGAATCTCTTGGGAGAGGAACAGGGTCCCTAGCTCATTCAGGGGCTCAGCCCTGCATTACCATTAGCCATCTAGTGAAGACCTTGTTTTACTTTACAAATCTGACAGATATTTTTTTTAGCTCAGATTTAGGAGAGAAGCCAATAAGATATTTACCTTTCAAACAAAGTGATGACAGAGTATTTGGGACTGTTCCCTGCCTCGACTCACCCTCCGCTGTTAAAGTGACAATGTATCTTTACGATATGTTTTTTTAAAAAACATTTTTTTAAAAATAAGAGGAGGATGATTTGGTTGTCAGTGATCCTATTTCTGGACAGAGGCTGAATGATAATTAACTCTTTCTGGTCCTTTGCATTCTTTTAAACGCTCTGGAGGTAAGGTGTATTGGATTCTAATAATGACAGTAGTAAAGTGGCTTTTCTGTGTGTTAGCCTTCATCCTGAAGGAGT